CCAGTGGAGAGAGGGGAACCGCGCCTACATGGCTGTGTTTGTGTGTTTCCCGTGGCAGAGGTAAATCCAAGGGCTCCTTTTATATCTGTTTGACAACAATGAACCAGCTCTATATGGTGCCTCCCACCAGGTTATTCCTTCATTCAAGAACAATACTTAAGCCCCAATGGATTTCCTGATGGCATTCAGGCTGTTAGAAAGCTTAACTTTCTCTTTGTGCTGGGATAATGAGTTACTTCTTTGTTCTCACTGACATAGAGTTAATGCCTTTCCATCACTGTGTTACCTTACTTTTTCTATGTCTTCCATTAGTTCTATCTTTCCTTCATTAATATTAACTTCTGCTTTTTTTGGCTCAATGGAATATTTTTATTATTTAGGTTTCTTTTCTCTTAACTTACTAGGTATATGTTCTTTTATTATCTATTTAATTGTTTACTCCTTTCCAAAGATTATGACATGTATCTTTAACTAATCATTGGTACTCTTTCCTCTTCTAAAACAATACAAGGATTTTAAAAACCTCAACCGTCATTTATCCACCTGATTTAAATATTATTGCTGTCTTGCACAGTGCTTTAATTTTCTCTATTTATGACTGTTAAAACACTATGATTATTTTATAATCAATATTCATTTAGATTTATCTCTATATTTATCCTTTTCTTACCCTTTATTTTTTCTTATGTATCAGAGCCACTAACTTGGATCATTCTCCTTTTACAGGAAGAATACTCTTTTGTGTTTCCTTTAGTTGGTGATGAATTTTCTCATTTTTCCCCCCTGAGAACTCATTTCATCTTTATTTTAAAAAATTATTTGGAAATTTGTCTTACCGGCTATCAATACTTTTATTATGAAACTGTAGTAATCAAGGCAATGTGTTTTGGACAAGGATAAATAAAATTAAAGTGGAACAGACTAGAGATCTTGCAAGGGACAGAGCTGCAATTCTAATGCAAGCTATGTTCTTAGCCACCACCTTAAATAGGGCAGGAAGTAGGCATGGAGGAGATGGAGAAATGTATCAGACAGTTAAACACGTTCATCCCCAATCCATCCATCTTACCACCTTTTAACTGTTATTCATGTCCTTGATGTGCTCTCTTCCTTCATAACCCATACTGCAGATATCTGCAACCCCTCACCTTCTCTCTTTATCGTGCTAACTTGGTGAAACCACAACCCTGGCTAATTTAAATTATTCAACTCCTGCAAGCCTCCACTGTGTAGCAGAGCACAGCTAAAGAAAAACACAAACCCATCTGATTGGTCTTACCATGAAATTATATGGCCTTTGACTATATGTTGGGCTGGCCAAAAAGTTCGTTTGGTTTTTTTCCATAAGATGGCTCTAGTAGCACTTAGTTGTCTTTAACTTTATTTGAAACAATTTTGTTAGATTGTATTGTGACAACTGTCATACCAGTGTGCATTAAAAAAAACTTATCAAAATTGGTGAATTTTTGTGTAGCCATTTAAATATTGAAAATGGAATAAAATGCGCAACATTTTCAGCACATTATGGTTTATTATTTCCATAAAGGTAAAAAACACAACTGAAATGCAAGAAAAGATTTGTGCAGTGTATTGAGAAGGTGCTGTTGACTAGTTGAATGTGTGAAAAGTGGTTAGAGAGGTTTCTGGCTGGCCAATGCTCCATGGCCAGGTAGATCACCTGAAGCTGATAACAATCAAATTGAGACATTAATTGAGAACAATCCACATTCTACCATGCAGGAGATAGCCAACATACTCTACATATCTAAATCAAAAAGAACAAAAATCCCTTTTCACCTTTGACCTCTTTTCTCCTAAAAAATCATACATATAAAATTTATGTGTATTTACATCATATATAAATTTTATAGATTTATAATCATATTTATAAAATTTATCTGATTTGGCCCCATCACCTTGGAAGGCATTCATAAAATATCGAAGATGAAGATGGTGCTGATTCAGCACTCTCTTTTTCAATGATCTCTTTCTTACATCCTCTTAAACCAGGGTAGACTTTCAAAGTGCATGACCAAACTTAAAGAACTACTTGGGAAGAGTTTGTTATCAATCACAATGCCATATCATTTTCACCAACATAGAGCAATGACACATTGAGAGTTCAAAGGTCACATTGCCTAATGAAATTTTTGTGTTCTGTGAGGATTATGGGAACTGTTGGGTAGATAAGGTGCCAAGGTCAGAGATTAAATGATAAGCATGAGCTAGGTTCACCATGCTTTAGGTCATCTATGTTGACTTACTCTTGAGGTTATTTTTTTTCAAATTAAAATATTAATTTTATTCAATTTTCAGCTTTGTATGATTGCAAAGAACACGCTTCTTTTTCAATTTTATTTTTTTATCATTTAGGCTGTGTAACTTAGTGGTTAGACAATCACATATTGAAATACTTTACATAGTCTTCCCCTCAATTCCCCAGTACACCAACTGTTACCATAATATAATTATTGCAATATTATTGACTATATTCCCTATGCTTTTCTACATCCCTGTGACTGTTTTGTAACAACCAATTTGTGCTTCCTTAATTCCTTCACCTTAAGGCTATTCTAAATCATAACTTTTAAAAATATTGTACTTCGCTACAGATTTAAATATTTGCTAACACCGTACCGACATATCTATAAATAATATAACAAAAAGGAACAGTAGCATCAGATTTGCATTTGATATTAGTTCTCAGTTATTCTTAGCACTATTTCTTAGTCCTAAAATTGTGGCATCCTAAGGGTTCCTCAACCACTTTAAAGGGTGTTGTGAAATGTTTAGGGATCTACTAAAGCAAAATTAACTTGGGTTTGTAATCATCTGTGCATCAGTTTTAGAACTCTACTGATGTAAGTAAAATCTATGAAACATAAACATGAAGAGGCAAAGAGAGCATATAGGAGTTTGTAGCTAACTTAGGACCTTAGGCTTGATATACAGGGCTAGTATGCAAAATGATTGGCTAAAGTAGCCTTTCTGGTATAAATGAAAATTTTGAGAATTTAAAATGTACTAGTACTTTAAGTTTACCTATTAATAACCAATAATAACCCATAATAAAAACACTCTTAAGCAACCTTTTAAGTATTTGTTCTCATAGAGGAAATCCCTACTTTTCTTTTTTCATTTTTATCCAATCATGGCCATTTTGACATATTTCTCCTTAGGTTTCTTTTTTTAAAATTATTTATTTATTTTTAGAGAGAGGGAAGGGAGGGAGAAAGAGAGGGAGAGAAACATCGACGTGAAGGAGAAACATCAATAGGTTGCCTCTTGCATGCACCCAGATTGGGGACCAACCCCACAGCCCAGCCATGTGCCCTGACCGGAATCAAACCTGTAACCTTATGCTTTGTGGAACAACGCCCAACCAACTAAGCCACACCGGTTAGGGCCTTTTCAGATTTTGTCTATATGTACATGTTCCAGACCTGGGTTCCCTGACCCCAAAGAATTTTATACCATTTTTTGTCTAGGGAGATAGACTACTGTGGCCATAGGATTTTTCAAATAGTTTAGGTAGTCTCAGCCCCTTTCCTAAAGGAATGTAGAAAATCCATGGATGACTCCTGTCCGAGTCATCTATTCAAACTCTGTGGGAGTAGGGAGGCTACTACCTGCTCTGAGAGACATGTCTTGAGTAAGAGAGAATTGAAGGGGAACTCTTTTGTAAGTTAAAAAGAGACTGTCATACTCAAATTCTGATAGAATAAGAAAGCCTCACCTGCAATCTGGTTTGATTATAGAAACAAAATATGAGAATCATGCCCTTGATAAGCTCTTTCTAGATTTTGACTAAAAAAGAAAAAAAATCCTCCTTCTCTCTCTCGCCTTGCTTTTTCCCCTCATCCCCAAATAAAATAGTGTGATTTCCTGCCTAAGATGCTAGAATATTGTGCCTCTCTCTCATGGCTGAAATGATACAGCTTCTCAAACTTTTGCAGTTTACCCACAAGCTCAGGAGTTGCAAGGTAGGTTTCTAAACTGTCCTTTTCTTCCTTTACTTATGGAGTTTGTAAAAGGGTTATATTTTTATATTTATAATGAATATCAAAACATGTAAATGTGCTTTATTTTATAAAATCTCACTGCACATACACCTTTCCAGGAATGTGTGCATTCTGAAGTAAGGTATACCTTGACACTCTCACTATTTCCCATAAACTGTTCCAAGAATTAAAAATAAATCTATCCTGGTACCCCAGGCCTTTCAGGCCCAGGTCCTACTTGATCTCCAGACTCATTTCTGTGACAGCCACCACCCAGTCCTCCCACACCCAACACCTAAAACTCAGACTGCCCCGAGCCACCTCCAATTCCAGCCTTCCAGGCGTTTCTGTACGGCTCTCCACATCCATATCCTTTCTCTACAGCCCATCTGACAATTAGATAGTCGGCTCACATTACTAAATGCATTTCCTGTCTCCTAAACTGTGAGCTTCTTGTCTTATCATCATGCTCCCAGTATGTAGTCCAGTAGGCACTTAAGATAATTGTTAAATGAATAAATATAAAAATAAAACTCCCTTTTTACAGAAGAATATTGGTAGCCTACAAGAGCAAGAAGAATATGAAGTGAAGGCAATCAACATTTTTTGCTTATATTCCGTGTATTGGGGAGTGTTCTAAAAACTTTATTATAATATTTAGTTCTCAAGTAATCCAAAGAGGTAGCTATTGAAATATGTGAATTGCCAATGAGGAAATAAAGGCTTAAAGAAAATGAGTAACTCGCCCAAAGGATCGTAAATGTTAACAAACCAGGAGCCCAAGGAGAAACCCAGGTGTTTCTGCCTGGAACACCTGAGTCCTTCTCCATGCACCGGGCGACAGTCCAGGAGGTACATTTGATGTGACTGCCCAGTGGAGAAAGTGAGAACATTCACTTCCCAACTCAAAGGTCACTCTTCCTTATGACACAACATGACTCTTTTAAAAGAATTCAGGTAAAAATATTTCATCATAGATCTTTGCCTTTTGCACATCTCTGTAAGCATTCCTGCTTTTCTCTTTGATGTTTTGATTTTTCCAGAATCCAAGGGCCGAGGTTTTTCACCTTGGTGTTAGAAGTTCCAAGTGGAACAAAGGACAGCAGTTGCAGACGGTACTCCCTGAACATGTTTTGTTTAATCTTTCTTTTTAAAGAACAACAAATCTCTTTTTTCCCATTTAACAAATATTTTTATTGAGGACTTTCAATGTGCCAGGAATTGATAGAAATGTCGGAGTACAATGATGAACCAGGTGCCCACCAAGATATTGCGGACCAGAGGGATACTTTGGAGGATCAAGTGCTTTAAGGTAAGTGAAATTCCTTTGTAGGCTGTGGAACTAAAAAGAGTTATTACTTGTTCTAGTTATCAGTTGGCTTAAAGCAATGGATTTGAGGATGCTGTACAGTTCTGTGGATTCATGGGACTCAGCTGGGTGATTCTCATCTCACGAGGGTACAGTCAGGCATTGACTGGAACTGCGGCCACCCGGAGGATTGATTGGGCTGGATGCCTGAGTTATCCATTCCCATGACTGGAACTGGAGGCTGGTTGTAGGATGGGGCTCAGTAGAGTCAAGTCATGTGGCCTCCCCCATGAGTTTTCGGCTTCTTATAGCAAGGTGGCTGGGTTCTGAGACAGAGGAGTCATTATAGGTCAGGATCTGGTTCTCAGGTAGAAACTCTCCCAAACCCCATTTTGTCAGGCAGGGCTCCCAGACGAAAGCAGGCGTCTCTGCTTGCCCCACCAGGCGTCTCATGCCACTCTGCCTTGCTCGGCCAGCTCCAACCACAACTTCCTTCTCTCTGTATTTCAAATGTTCTTTGAACAGCCTGTTTCTTCTCCCTGAAATGCTATCCTTCCTTCCTTTATAGCCTGTCTTCCCCACTCCCTCCACCTCCTAGAGAACTCCTTCTCATTTGTCAGATTTCAGCCCAGATTATCACTTTAAGAGAAACAAACATATCAGTAAAGTTTAACCATCTGATTCTCCTATTTCTTTTTTTTCTTAACTTTTTGTTGTGAGATGCTACAGACTGACAGGAAGTGGCAAAAATTGTGGAGTCCTATGTACCGTTCACTCAGTCTCCCTGAATGATGATGTCATAACTACAGTACAAAAGCAAACCTAGGACGCTGACATTGGTACAGTACTCTTACCAGACTACTCCAGTTTCTTAAGAACAATTTTTTTTTTTTTACAAAATTATGGATGCAATTCCCAGAAGGCCTTCCCTTTTACTCTGTTGAGTAGGCAATGCTGGGTCACAGGTCTAACGGTAATGATGAGTATATAAAATTATATGGCCTTACGTAAGAATCATTTTAATGTGTCTTCTACTAACAAAGGACTTTTCAGATGTTAATTGGTGATAAAACAAAATTGATTCAGACTAGATAAAAAACTAGGCAAAAAGAGTAAACACATATTGGACCTTTGCTATATGCGCAGGACTTTGCCAAACACAAGAGCAAAGTGATGCAAAAACACAGGCCTTTCCTCAAACGGTTCACAAATGGGAGGAGGCATCTGAAACAGAGACGTGAGTAAGAAAAATGAATAAAATAAAGAGATTATTGAAACCTGGGAACAAATGGCTGCTTTGTGTGTAAGGAACAGATTGAAACACATTTTGGCCTAAATTCAGAAGTTAATTCTGGTGAAGTAAAGAGAAGGGCCATCATTATTTAGAGTTGTATATAGCCGGATAATCCTAGGATGGAACTAGAAAAATAGAAGGGAGTCGAACTCAAGCAAACAGCACACACTGGGACCCATCTGTGTTTAGTTACTATCCAAGGCCACACTTTCTTTTTTTTTTAATTAATTTTTTAAAATTGTTCAAATACAGTTGTCTCCATTTTCCCACCACCACTTTCCCCTGCCCCACCCACCCCCACCTCCCACCCTCAGTCCTTCCCCACTTTGGCTTTGTCCGTGGGTCCTTTATGTTCCTTGATTTGACCCTTACCCAAGGCCACCCTTTCAAATGCCTTCTACTATAATGCTACCTTCAAGCCATATGAACAAATCATCTTCCTCCTAAAACAGTTGTCTCCATCAGTGTCACAGCATTTTCATGGCCACTTTTTAGCATCCTTCTCCCCTTTCACATCTCAGTCATGGATGTTTCTCATAGTCACCTGCTCCTCTCTGTTCTAACCAGCCCAACTCAGAGCCTCATTACCTTTACACTTAAAAAATAAAAGCAGCTTGTTTAGCTTCCCTGAGTTGAGGCTACTCTAACAAATTACTGTAAATTTGGTGGCTTAACATTATGGAAAACAGAATAGAGGTTACTAAGAAAATTAAAATATAGAGCTCCCACAGTATATGGCAATTCCAATTCTGGGTATACATCCACAGGAAACTAAATCAGCAACACCGCGTTCATTGCAGCATTACTCACAATAGCCAGGATACGCACACAACCTGTGTCCATTGACAGATGAATGAATAAAGAAAATGTGCTACACACTCACCCTGGAATAATATTCAGCCATAAAACAGAAGAAAATCCCCTCATTTGTGAAAACATGGATGAACCTAGAGAACATTGTGCTGAGTGAAATAAGCCAGACAGAAAGACACACACATACACCTGTGACCACAGCATCTATAAAGAGAATTTTAGTTCCTTCTTTCTGATCGGGATGCCTTTTATTTCTTTTTCTTGCCTGACTGCTCCAGCTAAGACTTCCAGTACTATGTTGAATAGGATTGGTAAGAGCAGGGATCCTTGCCTTGTTCCTGATCTTATAGGGAACGCTTTCAACCTTTTGCCATTGAGTATGATGTTAGCTGTGGGCTTGTCTATATGGCCTTTATTGTGTGGAAGTATGTTCCCTCTATATCCAACCTGAGAGTTTTTATCATGAAAGGATGTTGTATTTTTTGTCAACTACTTTTTCTGTATCTATTGAAATGATCATGATTTTTAACTTTCATTCTATTAACATGGTGTATTTGTTGATTTACATATGTTGAACCACCCTTACCTCCCAGGGATAAATCTCCCTCGATCATAGCATATGCTACTTACAGTGTGCTATTGAATTCAGTTTGCTAGTGTTTTGTTGAGAATTTTTACACCTATATTCACCAGAGATATTGGTCTGTAGTGTTCTTGTAGCGTCCTTATCTGGCTTGGGTAGCAGGACAATATTGGCCTCTTAAAATGAGTTTGGAAATGTTCTCTCCTCTTCAGTATTTTTGAAGAGTATGGGAAGGATTGACATTATTCTTCTTTAAATGTTTGGTAGAATTTACCGTGAAACAATCTGTTCCTGGTCTTTTCCTTGTTAGGAGGTTTTTGATTACTGATTCAGTTATTGGTCTGTTCAAGTTTTATATTTTTTCATGATTCAGTCTTGGTAGGGCATATGTGTAATCTTATTTATAAGTATATAATGACATTTTTGTCTCCTTAACCATTTTTGACCTAAAGTTTATTTTGTCTGATGTAAATGTTGCTGCCCTCGCTCTCTTTTGGTTTCCACTTGCATGCAAGACCTTTTTCCATCCCTTGACTTTGATCCTGTGTGTCCTTAAAACTGAAGTGAGTCTCTTGTAGGCAGTGTATAGTTGGGCCTTGCTTTGCAATCCATCCTATATCTTTAGATTAGAGAACTTAATCAACTTACATTTAGAGTAAGTATTGATAGACTTACTCTAGTCTAGTATAGTATTAAATACTTACTACTGCCACCTTATTCATTGTTCTCTGGCTTTTTGTAGTTCCCTTGTTTCTTTAGTCCTTTCTTACTCTCTATTTTCCTTCATGAATTGATTTTCCATAGTTGTATACTTTGATTCCCTTCTTTTTATTTTGTGAATCTATTGTAGAATTTTGCTTAGTGGTTACCCTGAGGCTTACATAAAACATTTTACAGATATTACAGTCTATTTTACACTGATAACAACTTCTATTTCATACAAAAACCCTAACCTTTTTACCCTCTTTTGTTTTTGATGTTACAATTTACCTTTTATATTGTGTATTTATTAACAAATTATTAGAGTAATACTTATTTTTAATACTCTTGTCCTTTAAACTTTATGCTAGAGTATTATTCTGAATTTGACTATATACCTAGCTCACCGTGTGTATTTTCATATGTTCTAATGTTAGTCATTAGCATCCTTTCATTTCAGCTTGCAGAACTCCTTTTAGCATTTCTTGTAAGGAGGTCTAGTGGTGATGAATGCCCTCAGCTTTTGTTCTTCTTTGCCCTTTTCTCTGCCCTCGCTCCCAGCCACAGGGTCGGGTGTGTGCGGGTGAGGCACACTGGGCACTGGGGGGATCTCAGTAGCTTGTGGGCAGCCCTCTTGGTAAGAGTCCACAATGTAGTTAGCAGGCTCTGCAGACATTTAATGCCCCCTGGAAGTCCTCTCTGCCCCTCCCAGTCTTTTTCTGCCCCCACCTCCCACCCATACAGCTTACAATTTCAGTATTCAAAGAAAAATGAGCTTTTTAGCAGCTGGGGAGGCAGGTGCTCACTTACACACTCACTTTTCCTCATGAGAGAAATCACAGGCTGGGATCACTCTCGGCCCTAAGCTGTGTTGCCTTAGGGGAGGAGTGGGCCAGTCAAGCTTCCAGAGCATCAAAACTCGTATTTTTTTTTTTTGCTCCACTGATATGCTGAAACTTCTCTTCTGAAACCTGGACTTTTACACTCTCTCATTCATGGGTGATTCTCTAAGACAGTGAACCCCAGGGGCTGAAGGTAGCTTACAGGCCACTAAAGGATTCACAGCCAGGACCGAGGTCTGTCTGCCGACTACCTGACACACGGTGGGCAAGACTGCTCTTAGACCCCTCAGCGTGCGGTGCTGGACCCCACAATTCCCCGTAGGGCACTTTTGTCTGTGGATGGAAAACCCACTGCTCTTGTTGAGGGCAGAACAGAGGATGTCTTATTCCCCCGTGAGACTAATGCTACTTCTAAAGGATATGTTGTTTTAACCTGCATTTCTTTGAGATCGTACACTTTTTTTGGTCATGTATTTTTTTCTTTGGGAATTACCTGACCATGTTCTTTGCCCATTTTTCCTTGGAGGTGATAGCATTTTTCCATTTAAAATTCTTCATATATTTAAGGATAGCAAGTGTTTATAATAAATATGGCAAATACTGCTCCCAGCTTATGCCCTTCCATCTTGCTCACACTGCTTTCTGTTTTGTTTTCTTTTTTTCTTGCAGTCAAGAGTATCACTCTTTGTGATATTTTCTTTGTTCATCCTATTTGCATGATGATATATTTAAACTTATACAACATTTAAACATCTGCCATCAAAAAATTAATTACTAGGAAAAGTGGTTCATTATTGAAACAGAAAAAGAGTAATCTTAAGTTTTAAAGTACTAAAATATTAAAATCCTGTGAGAGCCCTGGCTCGGTGGCTCAGTTGGTTGGAGCATTGTCCTGTGCATCAAAGGGTTGCATGTTCGATCCCTGGTCAGGGCACGTACCTAGGTTTCAGGTTCAATACCCAGTCGGGGCACATATGGGAGGCATCCGATTGATGTTTCGTTCCCCCCCACCACCACTTTCCCTCTTTAAATTCCATAAACATATTCTCAGGTGAGGATTAAAAATAAATTAACAAACAAACAAACAAATAAATATATAAATCCTGTACGAGTCCTTTATAAGAGCAACACAAAATATTTAATGTACGTCAGCATATACATGTCACAATTATGCATCCTATGCCCCACCCCAACCCCTAAAATCTTGTACTGATCTGTGTGGTCAGTTTGAGAGCCATCATATTGTGGAAATGCAAGAATTAGCAGGGTCACTTCCAAGAATGAAGCAGATGGCTCTTTAAGACCCAGTGTGAAAAGACATGTAGAATAGGAATTACTTACACTATTTAACCAATCCCACAATAGTTAATGGGAGTTTTTAAAGGAGTCTTTTTTAAAAATGCAGATAGGATCTTCAATATTCCAGTTGGGAGGTAATATATTTACAGGTGTTTTAGACAAGATGACTCCAGTCATCTAAAAGTTTAGTTTTATTATAGGCACTTTATGCAAACATTCAGTACTTTTTGCTTATTCTATAATACTCTTAGCAAGGCAGTTGGTTACAGTACAAATAAGAAAATATAAACAAAAGTTACACATTTTATTAACAAAATCTACTTGGAATTATTATAAAATAATAATTAAATTTCTAATGCCATTAACACATTGTTTTATTCCATTTGATGATGTTTCTTCCAATTCCACTAATTATAAAGTCTTTGGAGACTCTGAACTTGGTGGAATGAACTTTAAACAGATAACTATACATAGTTTTTTCCAGTAAGTGTTCCCTTTTTAACTTTGATTAAATGCCATGTTTTAACACAAACACTAGAAAATATTTAACAGCTTATCAGGTCACAGTTTACTAGCGCTTAGCTCCAGACTGGACATTGACCATGGAAAAGTAGACGCCCTTCTGCGCGAGCAGCTGCTGGTGGGTGCCGCGCTCCTTGACCCTGCCGTTCTGGAACACCACTATCAGGTCCGCGTTCTGGATGGTGGACAGGCGGTGCGCGATCACGATGCAGGTGCGGCCCTCTCTGGCTTTGTCCAGGGCTTCTTGGACAACCTATTCAATACTCACGTCAATTAATTCTGATAAACACAGTCCTCTCCCTTTAACTCCTCTTCCATAATAACCCTCAAAATTAATTTATCTAATAATAGGCCCTTCTTTAACCATGATATCAGTGAAATATAACAGATTTTTACAAAGCAAGGGATTTGGCATAGCAGAAGAGAACTGAATCCTAGTTTGGATTAGCTCTGAGCCACGAATTATCTAGTCTCAAAGTTATGACAACAAATACAGCCCATCTCATCATTTAAAAACGTTTACTGCTGTGGCTGGTCACACAACATCCCTCAAAGCAGCCCTCTGGTCCAGCGCTACAGCAGATTTGGGAAGACAGGGCACAAAAACAGCTTCCTTGCATTTTGGCATTTTGAAGATAGGAAACATCTCAGAATTAGTTTGTCTTTTTGGTGCCTGAATAAACAACTTTTTCTCAAATTGAAAATGATTACTAATTTTATCTAAAGGTACCATCAGCTTTTAACATTACCATATCCTCCCACTATTTTACACAGTTGCTGAGGAAATGCTGCCAATAGAAACGGAAATTTGTTTCCTAAATGCAGCGTCCTAGGACAATACAAAGTGATCCAGGGCTGTTTTTTTGAAGCATAAGTGCTATGAGACTAATTTGCTTTGTTTTATCTTAGTTTCTCTTTAATAACAGCTACAGAAAGTGTTTAAATTCCACTGAAAGGTGCCATAAGTAACAATCAACACATGTGGCTGAATTTTGTTCTCTACTGTGGAAGATAGAAGCATAATTTATACCTTAAGTAAAACTGATTCAAGTGTGAGTAAGTCCAATTTAAACTCTTACCTTTTCACTTTCTGTATCCAGAGCTGATGTAGCTTCATCCAGAAGCAAAATACGAGGCTGTCTAACAAGGGCACGCGCTATTGCTATGCGCTGCTTCTGGCCACCAGAGAGCTGAGTTCCTTTGTCTCCTACTCTGGTGTTGTATTTCTATAAAGAGAGTTTAGTAATTGTGAAAAGTAGAACTAAGATTCTAGAAAAGAGTTCGCTTACAGAAAATAGGATAACCACTTCCATACATACAAAAAAAATTAGGTTCAGAATTTAAGAATGGGTTTGTAGAGAATGAAACATGGACATAGCTCGAAATGGCAGGTTTGAGCTATCTTCTTGAAATTAGACCACTTGTGTCTTAAAAGTTATGCTTTATTATAAACAAGTCAGCATGTTTATTAGGACAGATACTGTTGCAATGTTAGTGTCTTCCAGGCTTCTAGTTTCATCATATGTGGAACAAACGTTGGTAGGAGGAAGAAAATTTGATTTGAAGGGACTATGCCTAAGAAAAGTAATTGAAACTCATTTTATGTATGGCCAGCAGGTGGCGCTTTCTGCACTATTGTAAAGTGAGGAAGGGAAGAAATTCTTGGGATGCTAGTCTTTTGGTGGCTGTTTTTATAAAACTATCTCCAATATTTCAACAATTTTAATAGATGCTAAGAAATTCTATTTTGATATCTAACTTTGAAAGCTGAAATCTCCTTTTTATTTTTCACATATTTGTTGTCCACATTAGAGAACTGTCACCATGCAACATGATGGTACGGACAGGGTACGTAGGGGAGAGCCAAAACGGGATGTGACAGCACACACAACCTAGAAAACAACACTATCTTATTTTTGACAGGCCCTAGCCAGGCTGAAATTTTAGTCAGACAGTGGGCTCTGATTCCGACGCCCAGTTTGTTAAGTTCATGTTCAATGTAGTGCCCCCTATTTTTATTTGCTCTATCTGGCAACCCTAGTTCTCTGGCACTCTGACTGAGACCTCCACCTGCAGATGGAATCAGAAGACTCCAGGGAGGTTCCGGCAGATGTCTGGGACTGGCTCTACCTTGCAGCTGCATCTGCCGGGAGGCGGGAGTACTGTGTCCCATGTGAGTGTAGGGCTGGCCAGGTTGCGCTGATAAAGTCCTGAGCCTGCTGAGGCAGGCGAAGGCAGGGCTGTAGCCCTGGAGGAAGCAGGTAACTAGGCCAGCCTCCTGAAGGGCAAGGTAAATCCTAGCACAAATCACTCAGGGGAAGAAGTGCCTCCTTAGACAGAAAACAGGACCTAAGGGATTTACCTTCTCTTTCCTTGTCCGAGAAAAAGAATCACGTGATCTATGGGTGTGCTCTGTGTGGTAGACAGAGACCAGGGGCCCAGAAGGTGGGGTCCCAGTGGTAGACAAATGCCAGAGGGGCAAGGCATCTTTAATAAACTGGGTAATAGTCCCCTCAGTGTTGGTCTTTGTCAACCCCTAGCCCAGCGGTGCTCAAACTTTAGCCTGTGTCAGTATCACCCAGGCTGCTGAAACATCGATGGCTGGCTGGGCTCCACCTACAAAGTTTCTCATTCGGCAAGTCTGGGGTAGAGCCTGAAAACCTGCATTTCTTACGTGTTTCCAGGAGATGCTGATGTACTGGTCCATGCCCATGCATTGAGAACACTAACCTTGCCATTAGTAAAGGAGATTGAAACTATATTTTAAAATGTGCTAGCCTTGGAGAGGGCCAATTATTCGCAGTTGGAGCAAGAAGGTAATGGGTGGGAGGGGGACCATGTCCCCCCCTGGGGCCTACGATGGGGTGGCACCAGTTACCCTCAGAGGAGCCTCAGGAAAAGAAAATCTTGGGAAAGAGAGCCACCTGGCATTGCCATCCTTCCCCCTGAAGAGATTGTCTTTGCTGCTGGTTTGAGGCTACTGAGCTTTACATCTCATGTCTTCTGTATTGAACTTTACACAATACAGAACATAACTGAGGGAAGAGGGTTTGATGAGTTATGTCAAAATGCACTTGAACATATAGGACTTAAGGGGCTTAAGAGAGGGTGAGAAGTTCTGTTCCTCTAGCTTTTTAGGAGGAATTCAGAGGACAGCTGTTGGACAACAGCCCAGGGAAGGTTTCAGTAACCAACCCCGTAAAGCAGAGCGTGGGGCCCATGCAATGTGCCCTGGTGACAGAGTACACAACATCACTGTCACCCCAATGGTTCAGCCCTGTTCAGAGAGAGCCTTCTTTCTGGCATGGGTCCTATGCCATGGCCTGACTCCACAGGGAGGTTTGAGGCTTGAGGAAGAGCTATGAGGAGGCAGCAGAAAGTTGGGAGAGAAATGGGGAGGGAGGGTCATGCCTGCTTTTGTGGACCCTGCACTTAGAGTTGAAAGGAAGGGCCTCCCAGACATACGCACTGTTAGGTCAGGCTTGTTCACAGGGAAGGTCAGTCAGGTGGTCCGGGAAAGAGAACATTGAATGGGGACACGAAGTGTGGCCAGATGCTTGTATAGAGGCATGTGTGTGTGTGTGTGTGTGTGTATGTTGTGGTTGCTCATTTTTCTTCCCCTTTGGGAAACCAGCCCTTTAGAAACCAAACTATGGGTCAGAGAAGTTGCCACAGGCTCCCGGCCTCCTAATTTGGAGGGAGACTCACGTCAGGCAATGTCTCAATGAAGTGGTGGATGTTGGCCTCCTTGGCTGCGCGCACGATCTCCTCCTGGGTCACGACCCGGCTGTTGTCTCCATAGGCGATGTTCTCACCGATGCTGCAGTCAAACAGGATGGGCTCCTGGGACACGATGCCCATTTGTGCTCGGAGCCACTGGACATTCAGGTGCTTTATTTCTTTTTTGTCAATGAGCTAAAATCAAGGGTTCACAGATCACGTTCAGGACAAATAACTGTGAGACTACATTTTTGTTGTTAGGGTTTTTTTGTCTTCTGTTTTTCTGGTATTATCAAGGATAATTAAATAACATCATAATTGTATGCTTTGAGGAACTGTCATGTTTCTTCCATTTTAATACTAGTTTTTAATATAGGTATGTGGTATGTAAAATAATGACCCCTCAAAACACACCCAAGATACCCATGTTCTAATCCATGAAACCTGTGTTCTGTCACACAGCAAAGGGGAATTGTATAAGGTCGTTCATCAGCTGATCTCAAAATAGAGATATTATCTTGGATTATCCAGGTGGGCCTGATGTAACTACGAGTCCTTAACTATGGAAGAGGGAGGTGGGAGAGCAAGTGTCAGAGCCGTGCAGTAGGGGAAAGGCTCGACCAGTCATCGCTGGCTTCGAAGATGGAGGAAGGGGCCAGGAGCGAGAAAAGGTCAGAAAACAGATTCTCCCTTAGAGCCCTCTGAAGAAACCCAGCCCTGCTCACCCCCTGATTTCAGCCCAGTAAGGTCCATTTGGGACACCTGTCCTCCAGAATTTATAAGATAATAAACTTGTGTTGCTTTTTTTACACCACTCAATTTGCTGAAACTTGCTACAGCAGCCACAGGAAACTAATGCAATGCATTATATTTCTGGAATGCTTCCTGGCATCCTTCTTCTTATATATCAGTTTTTCGTAGGAAAAGTAGCTGAGATTAGATTGGAAATAAATAACCACTATGACCGCGTAATGGGTTTGCAGGTCAGGTTTCTGATCTGCTGTGTTCATCAGGATCAGGTTTTTGAGGTTCTGATCAGTTGCTGTGCTCGCAACTGCAGGTGATGGAGAGATGGCTGACAGATGGACCTCCGCAGTGCTGAGCCAGAGGGGTGGGAAAGGGAGGTTGGCCTTTCTCTAGCCCCTTGGCTCCCTGAATTATGCTGCAGGAGCCCGGACTGGTGCTCCTTACAGCCTTGCTGGTAAACATCCTTACTCTCTAATGTGGAAATGTCTGCTCAAAAGATCTACTTTGCAAGAGAATTCTGTCACTCAAGTGAGAGAGCCGTTAGTCTTTTCTGAAGCAGACATGAGTGACTCAGCTTCAAGCTTTTCTAATGGTGGTGATGAGTGTATACTGAGCCATATATAGTCTCTGTATCCTTTGTGCCTGGCCGGGTGCCCCGGGGAGACAGCGGGCCAGGGGTAGGTACAATCTCTGCTGCAGGAAGACAGGTTCTGTTTGTGAAGTTGGCAGATGCAGAACGGAAAACACAGCCATGACCTTACTGATAGCAAGCCCAGTTGCCATGGAGACTATTCCGTGCATCTCTGCCCCAGGCTTCCTTAACAGTAAGAGGTGAAGGTGGAGAGGGACAGGAAAAACCATGCCAACGTGCGGTGAAGCAGTGGGTCTTGCTAAATGGGACACTGTACTTGAGAAATAGAAATTTGAGGAAAGGAGGAGTAGTTTGTTTTTGTAAAATTTTTTCCCAGGTGCATGCCCCTGGCAGGAAGACAGACACTGCCTAACTATTATAATCAGACAAATTTGAACGATCCTGGCAAATTTAAATGAGTTTCTCCATCACACAATAACATTCTTGTGCCTCCTCATCACCACACGATGCACCAGAGCTGCAAACTATTAAAAACCTGTGTTAGCTGAAGAATCCTTTTTTAGGGAAAACATGTTTAAAAACCTAAATGTAAAACAGATGAATGTGGAGATGTGGAGCTTCTTTGGCTGAGGCTTGGGTGGTGATCTGAAGAAAGACCAAGGAACTCTGGCTGAGGAAATCAGTGAGCACTGTTCAAAAGGTACCAGTCTAAGTAACTTATTTAAGAAATTAAACACAGTATTAATGATAATGTAAGGCCAAATTAAAATGACTAGCCATTTCTAGTCCAGATTGTTAAATCTACTGCTTGCTTTGATTTCATATGCTTTCTGCTATATGTATTTACTCTGAAATACTAATTATAGATAGAATATTGACTACTGACTACACTATATTTCCTGTGATAAGCAGGTCTCATGAATTCTCTTGTTTAATCTTCAGAACGTTTGTGAGGGAGCTGTGATTTTAACCCCCATTTTATAGACAAGGAAATGAACAAAGTGATGTAACTTGTACAAGGTCACTTAGTTACTGGGGTAGTGAGCTAGGGCTGGATGTACATACATACAGGTTGGGTTTTAGTAACACAAGTGTCTCATAGTCAAAAGATAGTTTCTGTCCCACCTCAAAAGAGGAATGTCCCTGTCTTAGACCAGGCACCCACTGGGTGATACCCAGACAATGGCAACAGACCTCTAGTTGTATGCTAAGAGGGACAGAGGACCCGGATGGTGGTGTGCAGGAGGCACCAGAGAGAGGAGAAAGGAAGGGTCAGGGAAGACTCAGACCAGAGGCAATTTAACAGTGACGCTAAGGAACTTGAGCTTCAACCGCAGGTAAACGCTAGGTCCTGAACAGTGTCCTGGGTGGGAGGAGGGCCTGGCTGAGGTCAGGAAGCTTTTCCAGGTTAGTGCTGTATTTACGATAACTTGCCTAAAGAAGACAGGAGCTGCACTCTTAACGTTTTCAGTGTTTTGTTGTGATTGCTTTCATTCCAGGCAAATTATTTACTTTTGTACCTAATTTTGTATACAACTTCATATTCTTTTAAGCAGAGTCCATAAAATTGTATAATGCTCCAGAACACTTGGAACCTCCCCTCCATATAATTCCTTAGCTTGATTTTTCAACCTTCTGCACAAAGTAACGAAAACCTTTCCAATGTATCAGTTCAACAGTTCTCAAACTGTAATTGGCATCTGACTCACCCACGAAGACTGCAAAAATTACAAGGCCAAGCTACTTGAACCAGCCAGGGTGGCTGCGTTCTTCAGTCGCTCCCCAGGCCTTTCTGATGAACCAGTTCGAGGACCACTGCTCAGGTCAATGTTTCTCAAAAAATAATTCAATGCCCACTGACGGTCATGAAGATTTCCTGACGGGGGGGGGGGGGGGGGGGGGGCGGTCAAGTCCTTTCTTTAAAAAAATTTCCTCTGATCAAGTGATGTTTAACTCCACATACTCATTTTTACAAGGTAATGAGAGCTACCATTTCCTCCTCTGATCGCTTCATTTGTCAGCAAGGTCTTCATTAAGAGGCCTTGGTTCAAACTTGAACCACAAAACTGAAGCATGAAGTTAGAATTCACAAAAAAAAAAACATGAAACAAGTAGTGAAAATAAGGAAAAAGGCTTCTGTAGCTGCAAAAGAACAGACTGAGTAAAGGCCTAACTGTCTCTGAATACAAGGAAACATATAGCTGAGTAACAGTGAATGCCGTGGGCAAGTGAAAAAAAAAGCCCTGGACTACAGGTTGAAAATTCTACTTTCATGTCAGTCATTAATGTAGTGAGGGCCCCTATGGAACCGATCGATGGGCGTCTATCTAACTGTGGAACAGGTGTCCATTCTGGTTGGTCAATGCCCATGCCATTCCAGTTGTTAAATATTTTTAATATCATCTCTGCGTGCAACCAATAATTAAATGCCTACATAATGAAACTTTCTTGCTATAAATTCTATTCCTTCCTAATTTAATTCTTTTCCTATTCTCCATTATAATCATTTAAAATTTTGCTACTCCCTTCAAGACACCTATCTCATTCCCAGTACCTAAGATAGTCCCTAACAGGTACCCAGTAAGGTTTGTTGAATGTTGAATAAATAAATATGACCATTCACTTATTCTTATAGTTCTTGAAATGAAAGTGAATCCCTCTCTATTTTATCCACTTCCAAAGTTCATCACTCTTTTTTTTTGTTGTTAGAAAATGCATCCCTGCCCTTCCCCCCTCACCATTTCCCTGGACTCTGCCTCCCCACTCCAGCCGCTGTTCTCATGTGCCCTTCCTTCACCTTTGATCTTCCTGATAGTCTACACTCAGTCTCTGTTTCCACTCTTAACCATACCTTAGCCAATCTCAACCGCTTCCTAGCACCGCCTTTTCACTGAGAAAACCTCGAAATGTCAGAAGTAGCCCATTGTTTGTCAAATCCTATCATACTTTTCGGTCTTCACCTTACCCTCCATAGCCTTTGCCATGGCTGACTCCCTTCCTCTCCTTGAAACACTCCCCGCCACTGCCATCCTTGGCTCCCACCTTGTCTCTCCTACACCCCTCTTCTATCTTTACGGCCACGTCAATTCTTCTGCTGTGCCTGCTTACGTGCGCTGGGACCCCACTAAGGGCATGGAGAGGGGCAGAGTTGAAAGGGAGGCGGGAGACGTTGGCTGAGGCAGGTGGCACAGCGTGGAGTCTGTATCTAGGATGCCAGAATTGAAGTGGGACTCTTGTTTAAAGGTTTGAAAAAACATGGCTTACAGTGAAGAAGTCAACACATTCGGGCTTTAAGACGATGAAAAACTTCAAGTGAGCCGAATAGGAAAGGGTGCTCACCACGCATCCGGCCAGGGGGTCGTAGAACCGCTCGAGGAGCTGGACCACCGTGCTCTTCCCACAGCCGCTGCTGCCCACCAGGGCCAGCGTCTGGCCCTTCTTCACCTCCAGGCTCAGCCCCTGAAGCACGGGCACGTCCGGCCGGGTCGGGTAGTTGAACACGACTTCATTAAATGTCACATTTCCGTCCAACGTGTTCTAAAATCAGAACAGTATCAATAAATTTGATCGCAGTAATCCTGGAAACACACTGTATAACCAACATCCTCTGGTGCCAGGTGTCAAAGGTAGTGAACTTGTGGTACAATTGGGTTTCATTTGTAACTGCTAGAATTTCATAAATAAAATCTCAGAGTCAGTGTTTTTATAGCCTGTACTGTTAATACAATACAAATGTGATAACTTGATCTGTTCCCCAGAAATAATCTACGTATAATAAAATAGATGAGTGGACAAAACAACTATGGGACATTTACACAATGGAATTCTA